AAATTACGAATTTGTCATTATACTATCGCGTAGCAATAGTACCACAATAGTCCCTTTACTAACCAGCACTCGAGTACTATTGCATTCTGTCAGAAAATGCCATTGAATGAAAACATCATTTTAAGTGCTGTCATTTTGATTTATTTAGCGATTTGTCACAACATTTTGTGCAGATTTAAGCGTAACGAACGAACGGAAAAAGCATTGGAAATGGCTTGAATATGGCAATTTTTAGCAGGAACAATTGTCTCCAGCCATGCAAAACAGTGGCAACATTCGCCCATTTTTCCAATTTATATTCAACAAAAAAAATATGAATTCATATTCACAACAAATACGTGTTCATAAACATACATACATGTATTTGGTGTGTATGTTTTTTTTTGGCGGGTAATAATAACAACAGCAAAACGAATTGGCAAATGACAGCAATAAAAAAACGAGTTAAATGTTTTCTAGATGACAATGACAATAAAAATATAAATTATTTCGTTTTATGGAATTTTAATATCCGGTTGCACACAAAACTCATTGGTAAGAGAGGACGACGTATGGTGGTGGAAGGGAAGGTGGAGGAACAGGAATCTGGTGAATAGTGGCAGGCCTGCTGTGGCAGCCATATTCAAATTATGTGCCATGACAAATGACAATCTAAATAACATTTGATTTGTGGCAACATTCTGGCGAAAATCCTAGTCAATTGCTTGCAGGACAATGGAATAGCAATGGGAAATTCAAGTGAAATTAGCCAAGCCATTAGCCTGTGGCCATGAAAATAAATTTCATTTTTAATGTGACAGTTTTTTCTGTGAGAAGAAATTATGGCGAAATCGATTAACTGCAATCCATGAAAATATAAAAATAATATATGAATGTATGTGTATTTGTATGCATTTTATTTTATTAAGTTCTGGCATGTGAAAAATTTGTTGCGAAATTGCTGAAATGATTTCTGGTTTATAAATTTAGTTGTGTGGTTCGGTTCGTTAATCGTTTAGCAGTTGTCATAAAATTGACGTAGTGTATAAATTCGTAAGGGAATTCATTTTTATTTCGTTTTTATTCACTGATACGTGAATTAGACAAATTTAATTACAAATGTGACAAATCGTTGAAATTGAATGTTGTAACTGTATTTGCAAACATATCAAAAAAAATCTTTAATTTACGTTATTTAAAAATATTAATCAATTATTCGAAAACATTTATTCAATATACATACTCCGGATCCAGAATACATACTTCGTTGAGAATTTTGAGATGTTGTGAATGGAGAAAACACACACCATCCATGGAATACGTTGAGTGTTCTGTGAAAATGTTGTTTACCCACCAGAGTCCCGGAATGACAAATTACAGCCAGCTAATAATGCTAAAATATTGTCACTTGCGTCGGAGACCATCTAAATACATATAAAGGGCTATACTAAAAAAATTACAGATATCTATAGATATTACTTAATTACTTACTTAGCTGGCTTGTAACAGATTTTTCGCAGTTTTTTTTTTCAATTTTTTTCCATATTCGGCAATGTTGTCTTCCACTTGGTCTTTCCATCTTATTTGTGGCCTTCTGCGTGAACCATCATCTGGTTCGCTTTTATATGCCTTCTGGGCTGGGGCATCTTCATCCATTCTCATAACATGACCTAGCCAACGTAGTCGCTACAGCTCAATACGTCTAACAATACCAATTTCCAAGAATATCAGGTACAACTCATGATTCATTCGACGGCGATATTCACCGTCAACGCAGATCGGCCCATAGATTTTTTGTCTGATGTTTCATAATGGAGGCTGAATTTTCCGACAATCATGGCCAGGGGCACGGTCATATGCTGTTTCTAGGCGCTCGTAAAATATGTCTTTGGTCTGTTCATCTTTATCTTCGGTCGGACCATGGCGCAAATGAGACTGATGCTTTTATACGGATTATAGCAATTCGCTCATCTACTGTAAGGCAATAATATCGGCTTCGTACATCTGGAGTACATCCGCCAAAGCGAACACTGCGCCTATTCTGTACAACGTGCGCACATTCCAAGTGCAGATTCGCAGATCGTGGTCCTTTATACGTTTGCAGGGGTCGTCAACATTAGGTGGATTTGGTTTTCTTTTTCTTTACTTTTTCATAGTATGTTCGGTTTTCCGAGTGTGGGCAACTAACCCGACGCCTCAACCCATTTTTTATAGTTCTTATGGGTGAACTCGCGGCACATATTAGCTCACTATTTCATCGGGTGATGAAAATAGCTACCCCAGAGCCGTTGCTTGGTATCTATCCATCTATAAATATTGGTAGGAGGTTATTCACTTAATGAGATCTCAAAATATTAACCACCGTACAAAGGGGGATACCATAATATGGGAGCTACCCCGAATCTTGGTTCAATATAGATCATTTTAAAGAGAGGAGGGATTTTCTACCCAATGATAATTCCAAATTCTAAATATTACTGGGGGAACTCTTACTGAAGCTCTATCTTAAATATTGCGAGCTCTATCGTGTTTTTTAAACAGACGTGCTTGTCTAAATCGATATACATAGGGTATAAATCAGGGACGGTTCGTGTGATGAATTTCTGGGTTTTGACTGTCAAAAAGGTGTAAACGTCGAAAACGTCATATACATGTATAAAATGTAATAAATGCAGTAAACGTCATTTATTTGAACATTATTACCATTTGAATGTGAATACTATTTGAATATTATTATTACCAGTTATTTTCAAGAATATATATTATTTTTACATATAACTGACTATTCCTTACCGATAAAAAATTTCAAACTTTTTGGAGAAGAAAATTTATATGGAGAAGAAAATGTTGTAAACGTAATTTTCAAATTGATTAATGGAAATAGCTATTTTGTCAAAAACCTAATAGTTTTGGGTGGGTGGCCGAATTTTCTGACGTATGTATTATATGTCGAAAATCTATGTCATTTACGTCACAGTTTCTGACGGACCATCTCTGGTGTAAATAAAGATACCTCGTTTGGAAAAAAATATTAATATATATTCTTTAGATAATTTGGTTGAAACACTTCGTTTGGAAAATACGGCTAAGACCTTCAAACACTTAAAATTCTTCCGCAATTTTAGAACCTTATGTTAGGCCTATATCAAAATATGAATATATAATCTTTAGATAATGTGGTCGAATCTTTAAAATACCGTTCTACACAAGCAAAATGCGACATGTGGCATTTTTTAATGCCACGTTTTTTATGAGGAAGAACAAAAAGGACTTCCATGTTCTCCTTGTTTTAATCCCCACCAAAATAAGACAATGGCGGCGTTTCCCTAAAACAAATATGAAAGAAGGAAAAAAGTGAATAAAGTCTGACCACAAGTCACACTCTATCGCTATCTTATGGTAGGGAGCAAATACAGATGTGTAGGAGAAAGCAAACATACAATTGTGCGAGTGGAGGTGAGTGTAAGAACTACAGGGAAGATCAATTTATGCACAACCTTACGAGAATTTTCACTTCGACTCCCCGATCACTGCACGATACTTTTTATATAGGATCGAGCTGTAACTGAGTGTCTGAACTGGTCTAGAAGGAATCATATGTGTACCGGCAAGTAGAAAGCCATTTACTTGTCAGAAGTGCTGCAGATCTAAACACTATAGCTGTGAAAAAAGTCAATCCTTTAAGAGCAACATGTCTCCAACTAAGGTCATGGGTGGAAGAGAGACCTGAACAAGTTCTATTAAAAATGTATTAATACCAAAAAAGAAGCGGAACTTTTATGTGCTGTTATATAAAAACTTGGACAGCACAAATGTGTATACAGCCTTCCAGAACCCTTTAACACTAGAAAGACAGAAGTTTTGTATATACCTACATTGCCCCAAATCGGTCAAAATGACCCCTTTGCAAAAGGATTAATAATGTGTAACGAATTACTTCAAAATAGATTTTATTATTTCTTGCATTGTTTATAGTAATGTATATTGTTATCAGTATGTACTAAAATATGTAGGAAGATTTAACACCACATAAGAATTTAATAAATCAAATTAGAGCGAATTCGGTTGAAAACATGCCCAAATCCCCCAAAGTACCGAATTTCTGTACTATTATATGGGGGCAACCCGGAAAATTGGGATAGTATTGATTATTTTTTACTCAATGGGAATCAAAAATATAAAATTACAGCTAATAAGGTTGAAGCACATGTCTATCCAAAATACCAAAATTTGGAATGCACCGTTGTATGGGAAATTCCCTAAACAATTTGACACCCTCTGAGACATCTCTAAATAGACCCAAATCTATTATATGAGGGTTACCCAGAAATATGGACCAGTGTTGATAAATTTTGGTAGGGACATTTTCTAATCAAAATATTAAATTGCTCCATAATTGGTTGAAAGACGTGCTCAAGCTCTCCAAAATACAGATATTTGGGGTGTTGCGTTATATGGGGACTCATCTAAAAGGTGGACCAATATTTGACAGTTTTTAGTAAGAAGATTTACTACCATAACACAACCCAAAATGACAAATTACAATCGACCACAAGTAGAAACATGTGCCCAAAATCATCAAAATACCGAATATTGGGGTACTGTTATATTAGGGTTACCCCGAAACATAAGTCAATACTAATAATTTTTCGTAGGCAAATCAGATAGCCAGAATCGAAATCGAAAATACTAAATAACAACCAGTCATACAGACTTTTATTCTCACTATAACCCAGTTTACAAATATATTTGCAAATTTAGTAATTCCTTTGTATTATGGTGGAGAGTATTATTTTAATAATTCATTATATATTAACCAATAGACCTTTCAAACCTGAAAAACTTTCTAAACAGTTCTGAAAATATAACCAATTTTATTCCCATATTTCCAACGAAATTATTTATAATGAAGCAACGTGTCAATATATTAACCTATTGCTTTTTTATTTCCAGTAACGCTCAAAACCCCAATTTAAGGAGCACCCACATTATAAAGCATCACCAGCGCCATTTCGTAACAACAACATCATCATCATCATCGGCAACAACAACAAAACGCGCAGCTAAAACATGGGAACCGGTAATTTTTTCTGGGTGATATTTTACTTTGCCAGTTTATGTAGCGCCTCACTGTAAGTACTTTTGAAGCCACCAATTACAACAATTCTTTTTGTCACAATTTTGCTCTTCTTTCGTCAAAACCAAAATAAAAAAAAAATGTACAGACATTTAATGTTTATTTTTCGTATTTAAGAAAACGATAACAAAAACTAAATAACTGTTTTGCACAGGATAACTGTTGTCAACACCGCTGTAAATAAACGAAATGTATTTCAGAGATTCTACAAATTTTTCAAATGCTTAATTTGTTAATTTTATATGAAATTAATTTAGTTAATTTTTTTAATTTTTGTCGGATTAGACATTTTGGAATTATTGCAAAAATTTTATTGAAATGAAATACTTGGAATTAAGCATATCTTTGATTACACACACACACATGCTTACAACAAAAACATCTTACGACTGGACGACTGGCACTCACATTCACAAACACACACTGAAACACAAGGATACACTACACTATGTAGCTGACACTTTTCAGTTCATCACTTAAGCTTTTGTATCACCGAACCACCTACACCATAGCTGCAACACTCACTTTACACGGAAGGCATGAAATCACACCTCTAAACAAAAACCACGACTCATGACCAACCGTCACCACCAATACACGGACACTGAAGATATGCTTAAATTTGTATGATATGTGCGGCTGTATAATATTCCAATAATAACAAAAATATTTTTTTCCTTAAAAAAAAACATCACTGTTATAATTGGATTGTCTGTTTTTTGTAACTTCCATGGCTTTTTTTGTTAATATTCGCAAATTTGTAAAAATTTTATTATTTTCACTCTATGTGTGTGTGCGTGCTATATTCAGTTTGCATAAAAAACTCTGTGCTATTTGTTGGTAGTTTTAGGGGCGGACTTAGCCATTATATGCTGATACAATTGTGGTCCAAAGCCATACTTTTGGGAGGTGACCAAAAACCTAAAAATACACGGAACTAGAAAGAATATCTCTTGACTTTATAGTCCTCATCTTGTTTAAAGTAAAGGCCGCTTGACTATCGACATATATTGTCACAGGCTCTATGTCACTAATCCATAGTTTATTGTAGTAGGATATACAATCATTGCAAATGTGTGGGATTCCAAATTTCCTTGAGTCTAATTGCCCATTTTTTTTAATAAACAGCTTATTTTACCAAGGGCCTGTCATCAGACAGGATGATGAACACAACTGTATTGTAATTCTTAAGGCTTCCTATGTTTTTGATATATGGCCTCTATTTTTACGCTCGTCCCGAGGCACAAAGCTGCCAGCCAGAGCTTATTCGCCCAAAATACGTACAATGAACTTTGGCATTTTCTTGGAGAGCGAGCAGTTTTCTTGAATGGCGGGAATAAATAGACGGCATTCGGTAACAGGGGCTGAACGACAGATGACCCATCAATTTGACGTTTTGGCCAGTTAAAAAGGCGCTTGTTTGGGGAGTTCGCATTCCCAGGCAAACAAATTGTGGTAATCACTCAGAATTGACGTCAGCTGTTGATCAAGCGGAATAGTCGTCATCTTTCCATCGAATTCGTGGCCTTCCCCTTCTACGGGCCAAATCAGTTGGCTCACTTTTATATGTCTTTTGAGCTGGGGCTTCCTCATCCATTCTCACAACATGACAAGCCACCATAGTCGATGCAGTTCGATACGTCTATGCTGCCAGACCCAGTTTGGCAGATTCATGCTCGATTTGTTCAAGAGAGGCTGTTATAGATCGCAATGTTCGATCAATTATGTCGATGTCATCGACGTAGGCGAGTAACATGTGTTGTTTTGTGTACAGAGGCCATTTCTGTTCACCTTTGTATATCGTATGATCTTTTCACAGTAGGATGTTATAAAGGTCACACGACAAACTGTCAACTTGTCTGAATCCTCTTTCGGTATTAAAGGGTTCCTGGAGGTCTTTCCCGACCTTGTGCAAGTTAAATTTTTACTGCATATCCCTATAAATTTTGCAGTAATGCCAAACGCAGACAAGACTTTAAACATCTCAGAGCGGATTGGGATGTCGAAGGCGGATTTTTCGTCGACGAATATGTAGAATGTGTCAATCTGTTTGTCGTGCGCAGTTTAAAAATCTGGTTTATAGTCGATTTGCCAGGTCTGAAGCCACATTGATACGATCCAATAATATCATTGACCCTTAGCTTTAGTCGCCCACAAAATAGCTCTTTATATGAGATGGGAAGGAGACTAATTCCTCTACACTGCGTTTTTCACCTCAGTAGCATTACGACACTTCTGATCGTACCATAGGTTTCTTGAGGGCAATTCTGCTTCTATATTATAATCGGGGTAAGAAGTTTTTTCTACTAGCAAGTTGGTAAGTTGAGCGAAGTAGGCTTCTGCTACCAGTTGTGTTTGCAGCTTTTCGACGTCGAATTTCCGTGTTGTGTTATATCGCGCCTTTGCGCGATTCGATATTCGCTCTTCGGATCAATCGAACGTCTAAAACACTGGATAATTGCCTTCCGTTAATCACAAAATGATCAATTTGATTTATCGTTGTTTGATCGAGAGATGGCCAGGTGGCCTTATGCCATGTTTTTTGCTGCCGCTAAGTCAATGAACCTTATGCCGTTGTTAGGCTGCATTCAGATAAGGCTACATTCTCCGACGGTGGGGGCCCAAAATATGTTCCCTTCCGATTTTTGCCTTAAAATCTCCTTGCAGAATTTTAATGTCATGGCCGAGCAGCGATCATACGCTGTCTCTAGGAGTTCGTAAAATATGTCTTTGGTCTGCTCGTGTTTGTCTTCCGTCGGAGCATGTGCGCAAATAAGACCGATGTACAAAAACTTCACTTTTATACGGATTATAACAACGCTCATCTACTGGAGTGAATCTGGAGACACTAAATCCGCAGCCATGTCTCGTTTCATGACAGCTATAATACTTTTCTGCCGCATTTCCTATAAGAGAAAAATATCGGCTTTGTACTTCTTGAGTACATCCGCCAAAGCGAAAACTTCGCCTGTTCTGCTTAACGTGCGCACATTCCAAGTGCAAAATCGCAGATGATGGTCCTCTATACGTTTGCGGGGGTCGTCAACATTTGAGGAAATTTGGTCCCTCTTTCTTTTGAAATGAAAAATGGGCCGACTTCGGAAATCGAGAATTGCACCAGAGCGACCATTCTTGGAGAGTGTAACATGGATTTTTTTATATAATCATAGAATATTCTATCAAAATTAGGATTACTTTGTCACTACTTCACATCCTCTATTAGCTGAGAGAGAAAAGTTCATGCAAATTGAATATAAACAACAAACACACACACATTAATCGTCACTTTTTTCCAATTTCTTCTCTACAAAACCAAAAATTTTGTTCTTCACTAAATTTTTTTATCACTCAAAATTAAATAAACAAAAAAAAACACTTATTATACGTTCGTACCTATCATAATTTCAGAGCTAATAATGCCAAAATAAATTTCCGAGAAAAGGAGAAAAAAGTCTTAGATCAAATTTTAGGTGCAGGCAAATACGATGCAAGAATACGACCATCTGGTATCAATGGAACGGGTAAGAACAACTTTTTTCCACCATACCACAAATACTACTGATCTTTATTTTTATATAAAGATATTAATATTTTTTCTTATAAAAAAAACTACACAATGAAAACTAAAACAAAATCAGGGAGTTTGATTTATAATTTTAATTTTATATATTTTTTAAATTATTATTTCAAAAATTATAAATTTTATAAAAAAATATTGGTTGTAAGTTTTAGTTAAAGTGAATAAAACAAAACTACATTAGAAAATAGGTCAAGATCAGGATTTATATACAATATTATAAAAGAAGCACTAAAACTAAAATTGCCGTATGCCACAAACTACTACTATTTAATAAACATAATTTACTATTTATTTATATATTTACAAGAATTTTATGATTTTAATTTTTTTATTTTTTATATTTTATTTGCATAATGAAATACAAACAAATATATATCTTTTAGATAACATTATTTTTATAATTATTATTATCATTATTATTACAAAACAACCAAGCCAAGAACATTTTATATAACCATATATATATTTATGCAGTATTGTATTTTATACTATATCCCAAAATTCAAATCATAAAATTGAAATAACCAAAAACAAAAAAATCAAATCAACCAACCTAGTTAAACCTTTCTACTAATCCAATAATTTCTCTCTATATTACTTACTTACCCACTTTATTTGTATTGATGATCAATCAAATAATTGTTAAATTGAAACAAAAAAAAAAAATCAAAAACAAAAACAAAAAACATTGTATCCATACTCTACCTCTACTACCTTATAAAACCAAACCAACCAATCAAACCAAACCAAACAAAAAAAAACGTCATACTGTACTGTTGTAAACCGAAACCAAAACAAAAAAACAAAAATACTTGTGAATCTGTCAAACTGATCAAAATGCAATGCAAATGCTAAATGAAAATGCAAAATCCAATATATACATCCAACAACAATGTATATATGTGTGTACAACTATTAAAATCTAACATACAGATGGTCCCGCCATAGTCAGAATCAATCTGTTTGTTCGAAGTATTATGACGATTAGTGACATTAAAATGGTAAGTCCTCACCAACAACCTGGCAAAACCCAAGAAAAAAAAAATCAAAAACCAAAAACCAAATCCATCAAAATAAAAGACACAATGAATTGTTTTGTTTGTGAAATCAAGCAGACAAACAATTTGTGTGTTTTTTAATTATTTGAAAATGCGAAAAGCAAAAAATCCTCCCCCCTGCCAAGTAATAACAACAGCATAAATATCGAAAATTATTGTCCCCTGCCCTCTTGACCAAATGCAACAGCAACAACTACAACCTAAATAGTTACAAAATCTCAAAGAAAACTAATCCTCCTCCATTTGAAAAATAAAAGTAATTAACATAGTTTCTCACTGCTCCTCCTCTGCCTCTTAATATGAAATTTGTGAATGTCTAACCTTGCCACCCAATCAATCAACCAACCACCTAATTAACTATCCACGTACATTATTAAATTAAGAAGTATAGATGCATTTGATCTAATAAAAAAGTATTCGAAACATAAATTATAAATTCACATATTCCATATACAATTAAGTTTCGAAAATTTCCAAGGCAAAACCAAACAAATCATTAAGCATCCCTATCTGTCTATCTCTCTTCAAAAGTTAGTTGCAATTTCCAATCTATTTGTAACGAATTTCGCCCCTCCCATCATAAATTAAATCAAAATCAGAAAAAATAGACCAACTTCAAATTGATCGAAAAAGAAACCACCTAACATCAGTACAAAGACCTTTAACACCACTATCACATGTAATTTCAAAATCAAATTATTTGAAAAGTATATAATTATTTTATGATAATTTCAAATTGCCGTACCGACCGATATTTGTATACCCTACACCTCAAGGAACAATAAAGTGAGCTACATAAAAATATACAGATATAAATAAAATTGACAACATTGCGGTATTTTATCCTATATCAAACAGAGATTTCAAATGTCAAACACTGTGGTTGGAGTGAAGTATGCAGGAACTTGGAACCTTTGTATGGAACATACCAAAAAGTTAACCATACCGACAATTGTACCAAGCGTTTGTTGTAGACCATAATTCACACGAAATATAAATTTGAGGAATTATTAATGGGGATTTTTCATAACATCTCAAAATCCCAAATGGTGGTCCGATATTGATAACGCATTGTATAGTTCAACATGTGTGTAAAATCCTCGAAATACTGCAATTAAGAGGCCAAATTTATATATGGGACTATAGCTAAAAGTTGACCAATATCGATTACATCATGTAGGAATTACCGAGATTTGGGAGTTATCATTATATGAGAAGATATGCCTATTTCAGGGCCAATATTTTCGTTTCGAATCCAACATTTTCGTTTTGTATCACAATACCTTCCATCACCCAAAATAGTAAATCGGTAGGTATTATTACATAGGGACTAGGCCTAAATGAGGGCCGATACAGTTATTGTCGAAGTTGTATCTCAATATTATCTAAAGTTAGAATGATTAAAACGGACTGTCAAATCGACTAGATCGTCTTAGAATTCCATACTTTGTACGATTACAGAATATCATCCCTACTATGGCGGAATACGGTTATATGGGGAAAACCCCAAAACGCGGAACAAATCAGTTAACTATTTTAATACAAAAAATGGGGATCAACATGGGGGACTAACTTCAAACGGGCGGTACCGAAAAAGTGGACCGAAATTTATAATTTTAAGTGGACCAAACTACAGCGAATTTGGTCGAAAACGCGCACAGTAACTCCAAAATATGGAAAATTGGGAAGTACCGTTATATGGTGACTATCCGAAAAAAATTGATCTACCGTTATCCTTATATGGGGGCTACCAGTAAAAGTGGTCCGATATTTATAATATTTGGTGGTGAAATTTGGTACCCAATAAAAACCCAATGTAGCAACTTTCAGTGAATTAGGTCGAAAAATGTGCTTGGGAGATGCTGGTATTTTAGTGAATTCGGTCGAAAAACGCATTTAAGAACCCCAAAAAAGGGTACCGTTAAATGGGGGCTACCAGAAAAAGTGGACCGATATTTACAATTTTCAGTGGAGAAACTTGGTACCCAATATAACCCCATTGTACTAAATTTCAGCAAAAATATCAAAATTTAGGGGGTACCGTTATATGGAGGCTACTATAAAAAGTGATCCTACCTTTTTAATTTGTAGCGAAGAAATTTCGTACCCAATGTAACCCCATTGTACTAAATTTCAGCAAGTTCGGTCGAAAAACGCGCTCAAAAACCCAAAAATTTAGGGGGTATCCTTTTATGGGCGCTACCAGAAAAAGTAGCCCTGTCCTTATAATTTTTAGTGAGAACCCACTGTACCAAATTTCAGGGAATTTTGTCGAAAAACGCGATTAAGAACCCCAAAATACTGAAAATTGGGGGTACCGTTATATGGGGGCTACCAGAAAAAAAGGGAACAAGTGCTAAAATTTATAAAATTATAAATTTTACGGTGGATATGCCTAAACGTGAACCGATATAGCTCATCTTCGAATTTGACATGTCTGCAGACAAAGGGCAACTCTATGCAAAAGGACAACTCTATGGCGATCTGTCTCAATTCGTTTAAAAGGTTAGAGTGATTACAGCAGACAGACGGACATGATTAAATCGTCATACAATTTTACGCTTACATAATTCTGAAATGATTATTTCGATGAGTTACAAACGGATAAATAAACTAATTATATAAAATCACATGCTGATCTTTATATGATTGCTATGTCAAAAAAAATCACATGCTGATCATTATATGGATGCTATGTCAAAACATAGGCACGCCTGCCTTGTAGCAAGTGGCACCTTCTTGTTGAAACCGCAAAACATGCATGGCAAGTGCTTGGATTTTGGGCAAAAAACATGGTGTGAACCAAGAATTTAAAATTACGATCAAATCAATGTGACATTAAAAATCCGACGTCGCCTTAATATTCCAGCAGATCTAGTACAGGCACAGGCTGTATTACTTATAATTAATCAACTTTTTTTATGGGTTTCCTGACAAAATATCGTTAAATTGGACTACACCTACATCTGAACCAATGGGTGTCCAATTTAATTCAAATAAGTTCGGACTTATATATACACCCTTAAATAGTTCTGTATGTCCGATTCACATGAAATTTTACGTAAATTATATTAGAAGGTGTGAAATTTGAAAGAAATTAATTCATTCTCTATGTATCTAATACATAGTTTTCACCAGATTTAATCAGTATAGCTGGTGCACCGATCATCCAGGCGACAAAATTTAGTCTAGAACGAGCTCTTGTAAATATAATTTCGTTGGAACTCATGTAATTTTGAAGTTTGTTCCGTCGTTGGGGTTCAAAACTTTAGATATTCTGTAGCAGAAAAGCTTTTTTTTCGATGTCAGCATTTGATACAGAACTTTATGAAATTAGTTCTTTAAATGACAAATACCATAATTTTAAAATTGCACATAAATGATATCACAAATTACATGTGAAAGTGGTGTTATTTCCATCATATTACTATTAAAATCGAAAATGAATCTAAAAAACAAAAACTTAATACCAAAAACAAAAAAAAAATCCAACGAATACCCAAAATAAAAAAAAAACCAAAACAAAAAACTGTTATTTACTTAATTTTAATGTAGTTTTATTTTCTTAGAGTTTTTCTTGCATACGTCTTATTATTTTGAAATGCATTAAAAAAGAAATTTTGAAATATCTCAACAAAAAAAAAACTTTCCATTAAAAAATATCCACTGAAAACTAAATTTTGAAAACAAAGTTCTTTAAATAATGTAAATGCCACCTAAAACAATTGATGTTATATGTACTTGGCAGACAATTAAAATTAGAGGGAAATATGTAACTGCTGGTGAGAGATGAATGAAAAAGAAATGAGAGAATGGACACTTAACTAATTTTTGATGGTATATTTTGTAAATTGCAAGGCAGAACTCGAATGCTGCACCATTT